AATTGAAAAAATCAAGGTACAAGTTTGAAATCAAAACTCTCAAAACACACATTTCATTCTACAGGTACAAACCAAATCTACAGTGTTACGAATCTTTTTGTCTCGATTCTAGCGTCAGTGGGAGGAACTTGGGTGGAACCAATGAGAGCACGAGTCTTAGCTACCAATCACGTTTCTCGAATTCCTGTCCAATCATTGGGAGAGGAGGGCAGGGTTTTGTCAGAGCTGTAGAGAGTTACGACACTCCAATAGACTCCTATGGAATGGGGAACTCACGTGGTTCATGTAACTTCGAATAGTTCCAAATGGCCCCGCTGCTGCATTGACTGCAGTTCATTTTCAGTGTTTCGGAAGGATTTTCTCCGGTAAGTTGATGAAATGTCATCATTTTGTTGCATTGTAAAGCGTTAGCTAACCGCTTCGTACCAAAAGAAGCCAATGATGATATTTTATGTTTCCAGTTTTAGCTAGATAACCTTTAATGAGCTAACTGTGTGCAGCTGTGTTTATGTAACGGACGCTGAGTCACGTCCTTCAGTCTTTGAAACGAGGAAAAAACAAACCCGCAAAATAGCTAAAATTAGCTTATCGATACAGTATCAGCTACGCAGTAAATGAACACGATGGAAGCCCATTAGCTGCAGGTTGTAGCTCAGTAAGAACAGGTATTTTGTTACAGTTGTCTGAAAGTTTATTTGCTTCAGGCGTGTCGGGGGTTGTGAGCAGGAGGGTTTAGACAAGCTTGACGAGCTGCAGACGGGTTTATTTCAGTTTGTTTGATTCTACATTTTAAAAATATTCCCCACAGTTTGAAATAGGTTATAAACTTTTTACATTATTAGTTTCATTTGGGAATATTTGTACAATTCTTTGCTGGTTGCTGTACCAACACGAACATGCATCAGAAATGGAAGCACCAATAATAAAGAAAATGTGACTGTGAAGACAAGTAATTATACTAACACTGACTGCAACAAGCTGCTGAAGCATGAGACAAACAGGATAACGAACATAAGAAGATATGTTGTTCTGTTTTGTGTACTCAAGTAATAAGAATGGAATTAAGATATTTCAAGAACAGTAGTCTAACAATAACATTTTAAAAATTAGACATTTTCCATAACACTGCTCATTTCCACTTGCTTTATAATATTAGCATTTGCAATTTTGTTATTAAGAAATGACAAGAAATAAGAATTAACAATAACACAATTATCAATAAATAAATGTCAAAGAGTTACTGAAACAAAAATCTTATGTAACCATTAAAGGAGCATGGGGCAGGAATTGTCCAAAAACAAGAAGTAAATAGGATACGTGTTCATTCTTGTGAAGCTTAAGGGTGATGAAGCATTTTAAACTAAAAAGAATGATGAAACCAGTTTATCATTGCATTTTGTTAAACAGGCTGTGTGCTGCAAAATGCAAAACATTTCTGATCCGAATTCCCCGCGCTGTTTTACGGATGTGACGTTAATTGACGCTTCAAGCGCGTTCTCGACAAGGTTCAAACCCGGAAAAACATTTGGAAGCTTGCTAGGTGGCGGTAATGCGTCTTTCACTACTAGCCACGTTAAAACCTCAAACAGAAGTGGAAGAACCCTGGAAATGGATTCTACAACTAGCTAAAGACCAAGCGCAACTCAAAGCCCACTAAAGAGTGGCACAAAGAAAAAGGTTTTATCAGCGGCATCTCGAGAGTCAAAAAGAAAATATAAAAGTCGGTCAGGGACCCGAATATGTATTGGGTACGCTCTGGAAGAATGAGGCTGGTTCAACTCAATTTGGGCTTGAAAAGGATGCGGACATGGCACATTTTCTAGTGACCAGGTAAGTGTTGTATTAGCTGGTCTCCTTATGTCTGCTGTAGGTTTCAGTTACGAGTAGGTAAACATATCAGAGCTGTATCTCCACAATTTAAGAAAATAAAATAAAACCTATGGATTTAGATAATACTGATTTAGGTAATCTAACAAATCTTTGTACAGATGAACAAGAAACTTATCTAAGCTAACGGTGTTTAGCATATGGCTTCCTGATCAGTTTGAAAAAGCTAAAAGCAACTAAGGAGTAATCGGATCACTTCTACGTTTTGTGGACGACACACCGCTTGTGTTTGGAGATAAATGGATGCTCCGTTTATTTTGACGAGAAAAATAAACAGAGCTTGATTTGATTATATGACGTCACCGAGTCGGAGAGAGCTAGCGTGCGTTAGCATGTTAGCTGTGATCACGCTTCAGTTTCTATGTACCACAGAAGAGAACGGACATTTTCCAAACCAAAGATGAGTCTTTAGAGTTATGTCATATTTGATCTACAGTCCAACCTCTAAGCAGGACTGTTACTTCAGTAGATAATGTTATTCTTGGGGTTTGTGTAACAGAACCCCAATATCTTTTCCTTATTGCTGTGCTACAAAAGATTAGATAATGAGTCAGCCATTACTACATGTTTTACTAAAAGTAAAGTTGTGCAGAAGTTTGTGTTTATTTTTCTAATTTGTCCTGTTGAATGTAGGTCAGAATAAAATATGTTTGTGCAAATGATAAATAATTTTTTTTTATAACTGACATGCATTTTCATATTACTAGTTGTGCCACAGGTAAAGAAGCTTAGCCATTATTAATCTATGTAAACAGAAAGTGTAGAGTCTCAACCAACTTGTTGACATTTTTGTTTAAAAATGTGTTTTCCAGCTACCGGAAGAAGCAGGCTCCTGAAACTGCAATTCAGGGAGGTAATGTGCAGTCAACCTCGACACCCAGTAAGAGAACAGCAGCTAAAATGTTGCATCGATTATCTCCAACTGAACCTGTGTCTGAGGGGTTAGTATCTTTTCTGTAAAACAAATATTCACCTTTTTGTGCTATGATATTTCATACATTAAATTACACCTTGTATATCCACACTTGGTTCAGAACTAACATCACACCACCAAACACTTCTGACATTATCTTTACAGGGAAGATTTTCTAATGGCTGTTGTTGAGGTCTTAGCTGAAGACCAAGATTTGGATCCTTTTGAAGAAAGGTAAATTTGTTCATGAGAAGTCTTGCCATATAAGCAGGAAATTACTGCTGTACTATGTGCAAAAAAGATAAAAACACAATAGATAAGCAAATATAGGTCATTATATATATTTATTTATTTTGTGAAGTTTCAATTAACGGCAGATTGTTGTTATTTGCAGAAAGAATTAATGACAGATGTATTAGGCTCCACATTTATCTCTTTAGTATCAGTACCATTTCAGGTAAGTTCCAGTATTCATCTTTACGTACAACAAATATTATTGTGTTGTCTGTAGTTTCAAATCCATGGATCTAGCTACGGATGCAGTCTAAATTGATGAGGACCAAGCAAACAACTTACTCAACAGTGTGTGAGTTGCAATGTCTTCTTATCTACACTCTTTTTTTAAACTCCAAAGTCTTAAAACAATATATTAATTCTACTTTTATTTATTGTTTTCATAACAGAATAGAACTGTTATGAAAACTTTGTTAGGCTGACAAAGTTTGCAGCCGCAAACAAAACGCTGCAGGTAAATAAAACCCTTCTATGTTTTAAAAAGAACTAAAAGATGGAATTGTTGTTTTATCTTTGTTCACAGGCTGGGATTCTAAAGGGAATTTCCATCCTACTTGTGTGGCTGAAGGACATCTTCAACCAATTTTGGTACATTTGCCAGAAAGCACAACATCGTGATATGTTTAATATAAGTATTGTGACATCTTTTGGACAACAAGACAACAATGCACATTGACATAATTACCTTTCTTTTCTTAATAGTGCCAGCTCTCGTGTTTCTGTTGGTGAGCGCTTCTGTCACATGTAAAGTTTTCCAATAAAACTTATTTTTTCTGTTAGGACAATGTTGGTGGGTGTGCTTCACCATGTCACAGGGAAGCATGAATGGACCCGTGGCAAATGTGACCATGGACCACTTGATGCAACGACCAGTGATAAAGAGCTCATGGTACGATGATCTCCACCACACAAGGCTCTTCAACGAATCATGTTCAACAGACGCTAGTTGAAGGATGTCACCAATCTGATCTTTAGGTATATTAATAACATTTTCATAAGCAAAAAAGCTAAAGTGTCAATATCAAAGCTGACAATTTACATAAAGAAATGACAATTGTGGGTGAAAAGGCAATCAAAAGTGTGATTCCTAATAATCTATAAAGTTGTAGCTTTTGGGTTTTTTTACAGGTCAACTTCAGAACTGGAGAGTTTCCAGAATTGCATTCTCATGTATGCTGGAAAAAGGTAATTTGATTTAGAAGTGATTTGTACATTATTTGTTATAATTACTAACTGAAATTATTACATTTTCCAGGTTATGAATGACAAATAGAAATATATGGCATGTGTTATGTCCTAGCAAAATTAGTCCCTTGAAAATTATGTGGTTAAATTTTTATAAATCTTGTCCCCCCTCTCCATGCAAAACACAGGTTTGCCTTCTCTCCTCCTGTCTACGAAGCCAGGTGCCTTCTTGCTGCGTTGGATTACAACCACCACAACCACGGACCAGATTATATAACCCAGAAAAATGAGAAGTCGTAAGTCTAATAGTTTTGTTTATCTTTAAGGCAACTGAATATGATCTGTACTTCAAAATAAGTTGTTGGATTTGTTACTGTAAAATATTTGTGTCGTTGAATGAAAATGTAGAAAGGTAGACCTTCAGTAAATCCTGTAATGCTTGTCTTTTAGATACAAGCGGCTCTACAGCAAAAAGTCACAAAATTATCGCGTACAAGTGGTCAAGGTTGCCAAAGACTACAGCTACATCCCTGAACTTCAGCGTTGCATCCTCAGAAAATGTATGGATGGAGGGGCGCTCCCAAGAAAGGCAAAACGCAACCCCGGTGACCCAAGAAATCTTGGGAATTTAGCTGGAGTTGTGTCCTCCCCCCACGGCAGAACTGGTCCAGACACAATTTTGCAGAGGACAGGTGTGTCATTCACCAAAATCCCACATTTCTTGTCAGCTCAATTCTAATTATGTTTATTGTTGTACTGGTTAAAATAAACAAATAAATAAATAAAAGTTTTCAACTAACAATAATCACGCCTCGGATGAACCTCATGGGCTATGATACTGCCACTGTGCAAAGATAATAGCTCCTCCTTGAACCGTCACCTTATTGTGGTGGAGGAGTTTGAGTGCCCTAATGATCCTAGGAGCTATGTTGTCTGGGGCACTTAGTGCCCCTGGTAGGGTCTCCCATGACAAATTGGTCTTAGGTGAAGGGTGAGACAAAGAACGGTTCGAAGGATCTTTCATGGCGGTTAAAACGAAGAGTCGGAGTACCCGGCCCGGAGGGTTACCGGGGTCCCACCCTGGAGCCAGGCCTGGGGTTGGGGCCCGTGAGCGAGCGCCTGGTGGCCGGGCTTTCGCCCATGGGGCCCGGCCGGGCCCAGCCCGAACCGGATACATGGGCTCGTCCAACTGTGGACCCACCACCCGCAGGAGGAACATGAAGGGTCCGGTGCAATGCGAATCGGGTGGCAGACCAAGGCGGGAGCCTTGGCGGTCCAATCCCCGGACAAGAAAACTAGTTTTTGGGACATGGAACGTCACCTCGCTGGCGGGGAAGGAGCCGGAGCTTGTGGCAGAGGTTGAGCGGTACCGGCTAGATATAGTCGGACTCACCTCGACACATTGCATTGGCTCTGGAACCCGAGACCTGGAGAGGGGTTGGACACTCTACTTTGCTGGAGTTGCTCTGGGTGAGAGGCGGAGGGCTGGGGTTGGCTTTTTATTAGCCCCGAGACTCTCTGCCTGTGTGTTGGGGTTTACCCCGGGGGACAAGAGGGTAGCTTCCTTGCGCCTTCGGGTCGGGGAACGGGTCCTGACTGTTGTTTGTGCTTATGGGCCAAATATCAGTTCAGAGTACCCACCCTTTTTGGAGTCCCTGGGACGAGTGCTAGATAGTGCTCCATCAGGGGACTCCATTGTCCTGCTGGGGGACTTCAATGCTCACGTGGGCAATGACAGCTTGACCTGGAGGGGTGTGATTGGGAGGAACGGCCCACCTAATCAGAACTCGAGCGGTGTTTTGTTATTGGACTTCTGTGCAAGCCGCAGTTTGGCCATAACGAACACCATGTTCGAACATAAGGATGCCCACCGGTACACTTGGTACCAGGGCAGCCTAGGTCACAGGTCGATGATAGATTTTGTAGTCGTATCATCTGACCTGCGGCCGTATGTTTTGGACACCCGAGTGAAGAGAGGGGCGGAGCTGTCAACTGATCACCACCTGGTGGTGAGTTGGATCAGATGGCAAGGGAACATGCCGCGTAGACCTGGCAGACCCAAACGCATAGTGAGGGTCTGCTGGGAACGCCTGGCAGAAGAACCTGTCAAGACGGTCTTCAACTCCCACCTCCGGCAGAGCTTTGACCACGTCCCGAGAGCAGTGGGGGACATTGAGTCCGAGTGGGCCTTGTTCCACTCTGCGATTGTCGAGGCGGCTGTTGCTAGCTGTGGTCGTAAGGTGGCCGGTGCCAGTCGTGGTGGCAACCCCCGTACCCGCTGGTGGACACCAGAGGTTCGGGGAGCCGTCAGGCTGAAGAAGGAGGCCTACAGGGCGTGGCTGGTCTGTGGGTCTCCGCAGGCAGCAGACAGGTACCGGATAGCCAAGCGGGGTGCAGCAGTGGCAGTTGCCGAGGCAAAATCTCGGGCGTGGGAGGAGTTTGGTGAGGCCATGGAGAAAGACTATCGATCGGCTCCAAAGAGGTTCTGGCAAACTGTCCGGCGCCTCAGGAGAGGAAGGCAGCAACTCGCTCACACTGTTTACAGTGGGGATGGGGAGCTGCTGACGTCAACTGAGGCTATAGTCGGACGGTGGAAGGAATACTTTGAGGAGCTCCTCAATCCCACCAATGCGCATTCCGAGGAGGAACCAGAGCTGGGAGGCCTGGGGATGGACTGTCCGATCTCGGGGGCAGAAGTTGCTGAGGTAGTCAAACAACTACACAGCGGCGGAGCCCCGGGGGCGGATGAGGTTCGTCCTGGGTATCTCAAGGCTATGGATGTTGTAGGGCTGTCATGGTTGACACGTCTCTACAACATTGCGTGGTCATCGGGGGCAGTTCCCAGGGAGTGGCAGACCGGGGTGGTGGTCCCCATCTTTAAGAAGGGTGACCTGAGGGTGTGTTCCAACTATAGGGGGATCACACTCCTCAGCCTCCCTGGAAAGGTCTACTCCAAGGTACTGGAGAGGAGGGTCCGATCAATAGTTGAATCTCAGATAGAGGAGGAGCAATGTGGTTTTCGTCCTGGCCGTGGAACTGTGGACCAGCTCTATACCCTTGCAAGGGTGATGGAGGGGGCATGGGAGTTTGCCAAACCAATCCACATGTGCTTTGTGGATTTGGAGAAGGCTTATGACTGTGTCCCCAGGGGCACCCTGTGGGGGGCGCTCCAGGAGTATGGGGTGGGTGGCTTTCTGTTAAGGGCCATTCAGTCCCTTTACCAGAGGAGCGTGAGTTTGGTCCGCATAGCCGGTAGTAAGTCGGACCTGTTCCCAGTGAGGGTTGGACTCCGCCAGGGCTGCCCTTTGTCACCGGTTCTGTTCATCACTTTTATGGACAGAATTTCTAGACGCAGCCGTGGTGTGGAGTGTATCGAGTTTGGTGGCAGGAGAATCTCGTCTCTGCTTTTTGCGGATGATGTGGTCCTCTTAGCTTCATCCAGCTCTGACCTTCAGCTCTTGCTGGGTAGGTTCGCGGCCGAATGTGAAGCGGCTGGGATGAGGATCAGCACCTCCAAATCTGAGACCATGGTTCTCGACCGGAAAAGGGTGGCTTGCCACCTCCGGGTCGGGGGAGAGGTCCTACCTCAAGTGGAGGAGTTTAAGTATCTCGGGGTCTTGTTCACGAGTGAGGGTAGGAGGGATCGGGAGATCGACAGGCGGATTGGTTCGGCGTCTGCAGTGATGCGGATGCTGAGCCGATCTGTCGTGGGGAAGAGGGAGCTGAGCCAGAAAGCCAGGCTCTCGATTTACCGGTCATCTACGTCCCAATCCTCACCTATGGTCATGAGCTTTGGGTAATGACCGAAAGAACGAGATCGCGGATACAAGCGGCCGAAATGAGTTTCCTCCGTAGGGTGGCCGGGCTCAGCCTTAGAGATAGGGTGAGGAGCTCGGACATTCGGGAGGGACTCGGAGTAGAACCGCTGCTCCTCCGGATCGAAAGGAGCCAGTTGAGGTGGTTTGGGCATCTGGCCAGGATGCCTCCTGGACGCCTCCCCGGGGAGGTGTTTCGGGCATGTCCTGCCGGCAGAAGGCCCCCGGGTCGACCCAGGACACGTTGGAGAGGTTACATCTCCAATCTGGTCCGGGAACGCCTTGGGGTCCTGCCGGAGGAGCTGGTGGACAAGGCCGGGGAGAGGACGGCCTGGAGCTCCCTAGTTGGGATGCTGCCCCCGCGACCCGGACCCGGATAAGCGGAGGAAGACGAAGACGAAGACGACGAAATAAATAAATAAACCTCAGCATAAAATATTCAGTCTCACAAGCCATCTGCTGCACCTTTTTGCAGTTTTGGATGTATCACCAATTATAATACACCAGTAATTGTCTTCTTTTTTCCTATTTAACAAAGTTTGGGTAGATGTATTTTTACCTTACATGTTTCGCCAGAGTCGCCAGCTGTTTGAGATGTCGCTTCCATTTATATGCAGGCAGCAGATGGCGACATCGTCCCTCTGCTGCCTGCATATAAAAGGAAAAAACATCTACCCAAACTGTGTTACATAAGAAAAAAGAAGACAATTATGAGTCACAAAGTAAGAATATACAGAAGAACACCAGTAATTAATTTATAAGTCTGGAACTATTTGTAATGTTCACACTACCTGCACAACACATCACTTTTCTGTTGTGCCAAGTTCAAGTTGAAAATGACAGTTACCAGATTGGATGGAGCCTTGCTATATGATCTAATGCTGCTGTTCTCCTCTCTCCATAAAGGCCCCAGCTACGAGAAGCATCAAAAGACAGGAATTACTTCTTTCATGCACACAGATTTATTAGAAATTAAGAAAAAATACTATGTACAAATGCAAATAACAGAACTTTTTTGTACATAAATAAAAATAAATATATTGTACAAACTGTTTGTTTATTTTTGGGTGAAAATGCTGTCTTCAGCTAAAGTTCTTTTGAGGTATTGTGCTGTTTTGGAACTACTGTAGTTGTAGATAAACGGTTTGGATTTTTGGGTTAGGGTGCCCTCAGTCAGGAAGATGGTGTCCTGGTGTCTCTTGCCGAAACTCCAGGATATCCAGCATCACCCCTGGAAGACGGGTCACCACTCTCTCGAGAATATAATCTCTCTCCTCCTGGCTCAGGTGTTGTAAAGCTGTATAGAAATTAAAAAGCATATGTTTACATGACTAGATTCATATCTCCAGTGAGTGATGTTTTCGTTTTTGACATCTCTCTATTATTTTATTTTATTTTTTTACACAAATGGCTACAACCAACCTGCATCTCAGCTATACTGGCAGCTCTCAGCTGTGCAAGCCGGTCTCGGTCCTCTTCTCTGAAAGCTGTTCGCTGCCTACCCCGGCGCCCTGGTCCTCTTGAAGGAGCTCTGGACCTCAACCTGCTGCCCTCACCCCTTGAGCGTGTCCTTCCCTGACCCTCGGAGCGACCTTTTCCTCTCCCCTTTCCATTACTGCCCTTTGCCCCTTGGTCTCAGACTTTCCCACGACACATCAAAGCCTGTGGCAGGCTCAGGCACATACTCCTCATCTGAACTGTCTTCCATCACTCCTTCCAATGTGAATTCCTGAAAATCAATGACAGTAATGACTGTATTACCCTGTAGGTCTTGTTGATATTATGATTTTATTTTGATGCATTTTTTGAACTAAATATTGATATTTATGTTCTTATTTACATTGTTGTGATGCCTGTCCTGTAATGAAATTGGTTTCACAAATGATGTCAGTGACTTGAAATTGGATGTTCTTACATGATGTATAAACAATAACATTAGCTTGTTAGTAAGCTTAGTGCAAAATAATAACTGTAATTTGTCTAAAAACATCAGAAATCACCTGCAGTCACAAAGCCTTATGCTGATAAAGTAGCATCATGT